CGTTAGAGCCGTTTTTGAGAAAATTGTGAAAATGTGTTTCAGCGTTGATATAAAGTGGCACTTCCGGTTAGCTGATTTTAAGAAAAATGTTGCTGTCACCTCTAAGGCATATACCTATCTTAAATACGTGATATCAGTTTCATAGGACTTTTCGTTTTTGAGCTAGACTTTGACATACAAACACACAGACACACAGACCATTTTTCAGGACTAGGTCATTTCGACTCAGGGTACCTCAAAACGTGTAAATCAGTTGAAACTCAGATTCAAAAATTTTCTCGATCGCAATACTTACACTTACTATATATTACATATATACGTAAGTGAAAGTAAAAATGGTATAGATTTGAGCTGGAATAGAATACAATTGATGAAGAACTAATGAATAAAAATCTGGTGTGTCCACTCACATGACTTTTCTACCTATTTCAGAAAAGTTTTTATATCTTTAAACATGTCCAGAAAAATTGATTTATTTTTCTGAAAATCGATCAAAGAAAAGATTTGAGTATGATTTCTTTGATAAACTAAAGCAGTGTAAACCGGCACGTGGAGGCAGCGCAAAAAATCAAAACACTCTAATATTGCTAATCAAACATTATTTGACAGATAGAAGAAATAGCGAAACTTGTGTAAGGGGGGCACCAGATTTTTTTACTTTCACTTACTTTTCTTTTTTCTCTCTCTCTTTCAACCCTTTCTAGCACCAGAATATGAACTGATAATCTTACTTACGAAATTGAGTAGCTGTAACTTCGTTAATAGTGGTCCGAAATGAACGATTTTTATATAGTTATATAGGAAATTTCATCACCGTTCGTCACTCAGGTGTGAAACGTATAGATCCGTCGAAAATCGCACATCGGAAATTTGTACCGATCGCCAATACTTTCCTTACCTGGTATAGGTATGAAGGAAAGTAATAAATAAAAACGAGTAGAAAATAGAATACGCTGTATCTTCGATAATACAGCTTCGATTCCAATGATCTTTGTATCAAATTTAATTACCTTTCAATTTTAAAAAAAATAAATTTTACCATAGAGTACACACTTAGCGAGTTGGGCCCCAAAATATTTTTCTTTTCTTTAATTTTTTTCCAGAATTTCATCGGAAATTTAGTACATGTACGGAAATTGAAAGGACATTAATTAGAAAATTATAGTGTGTGTCCAAAACCCTACTGAACAAAAAAAGAATTAATAAAATCGGTCAGCTAGTTCCCGAGATAATCTTGGCACAGACAGTAATGGCTTAAAATGTGGTTTTCGGACTCAGGGGGCTATAACATATCTCAATAAAGAATTTTCAAAAATTGTAAAATTGACTTAAAATTCATTTCTACTGAAAGTAGGTTATTAAGAGAAAGTTAAAAAAATATATATTTCAAAAATTTACTAAGTACACTTTTTGACGGAGCTAAACTTCTTTGTGATTTTTGATCTTATTTATCGTTGCGAAAATCATGAAGTACATACAAATAAAACAAATTCTAAAATGTGTCAGAAATGGTTAAAATGAGAACATAGTACTTACTAGTATATCACTAAGGGCAAATTCATCGAAGTACTCATTTTAGTGTCTAAATTAATTTTTCCGATAAGCCGACGATATAATGGCGGTCAAAACTCCAACAATGAAATCCCATAATTAATCATAAGCCATAATTAATCAAAGCCTGTAATAAAAGACCCACAAAAAATATCCGCTCTCTGTTCATTAATTATTAAAACCGTTAAAAAATATATGATAATAATAATTTGTATATTGGTCAGTGAAAAAATGACAATATAATTTAGAAATAAGTAAATGCATTTTATTATGAGACGGAAGTCATTTTCATTCAAAATGACAAACCAAAACCAGAAATTATGATATGCGCTATAGTTGATGAAAATCTTTAGATTTTGGTGATTTTTTTTAATTATCAGGGGTGTCAGAAATTGTGTATTTTTTAAGTTAAACGCAAATAGGTTTTCCTTTTCTTACAAACATTTTTTTCTTGACTTTTGAAACGGAGGAATTAATTTTCATTCATCATATATACTTTTTTTTTTGGAAACCACTCTGCTATTGTAGGCATAATAAAAATAAATGTCTATACTTTTTGAATTATGCGCTAATAAAGTCTTCTTTTATTTATAACTTTTTTTCCGAAATTTTCGGCGGAATGTACATATTTAAGGAACCTGAAGAAGAATATAACGAATTTTATTAATGGTCATAAAAGCACAATTATTCAATGATATATTTATAATTTTCGATGACTTTTATTAAGGCTGTATTAGAAATTTTAAGATCGAAATTAGATTTCGTAATATTTTCTTGAAATTTCCTTTCGTTGATATCCCATTTCCCGAAAAAGGGATACACATTTTATAAAATAAATGATATTTTTGTTACGATGCGTTATGGAGGCCATTAAATAAGTTTCTAAAAGTAGTGTTAATTCCATCGTAGGAATCCACCAATCGATTGAATCTAGCTTTGATTTTTGCTGGGTTTAAGAACGATTTGCTGAATTCTAGCGTAAAGTTAACAATCTTTGGAAGCTCATAACACATGAAATATAAAAAACATTATGAATACCTACTGTATTAATAAGTTAACAAAAAAATAAATAAACATAAGTGTAAAGTAAACTAAATATAAATATGTAAATTAATTTAAAAAAAAAATACACTAAACTCATTTTCTAGAAAAATGCAGTGTACCAATCGATCCAAAAGCCTATTAAACCACAATGCTATCGGTGATTTAATCGACGAATAAATGAACTCGGAACTTTATTTCGATATAAATAAAAAAGTATAAAATAATTATGATTATGAATGGCAGAAATATTTAAAACTTCACTAAAAAAAAAAAAATCATATTCGGACCTTTTTTTAAAGCAAAAAATGCAGCCAATTTAAATTTGTATTCATGTTTGGAGCTATTATTTTAAATGAAAATTAATTTATGTTTCTCACAATATATTGCATTTAATTATTTCCATTTTTTTTTTACTAATATAATATTCAAATTATTCACACGGGCCAGTTAGTTTCAAATAAATATCGATATAACAATAATTTTTTTAAATAATTTTAATAACCAATGAACAAAGAATCGTCAATTTTTTTTTTAGGTTTTGATTATAGGCTTTGGTCTATTTATGGATCCATCGATAAGTTTAGGAATGGTTTGATGGATTCCGATACTCATCATGAGCGCTGAATTTCGGTACTCAACCATATATTTCATACAAGAAATCATTTCTTCCATTGCGGTAACATATGGACAACAAGTGGCACTGCCCTGCTTATAGAAGATAAGGGCGTTAAACCCAAACAAACTATTACAGTAGATGCTATCGATTCATTTAATATGGTTGCACGCTAGCTTCTGGGATAAACTTTCCTTCAGGAAATTCATAATAATAAAAATATATATGGGATATTATTTAACATTATTAACTGATATTATTCGATCCAAATTTGAAATATATTGAATAAAATGAATATATTTAATAAATGAATTTTCTCTCATTGAAACAAAAATATTTATGTTTTTCCATAAGTGAAAAAGGATATTAAAACTTTTTTTGCTACGTAACATGATAATGAGATTTGTTTTATTTTGATGTACATATTTTCAAAATTTTAAATTCCTAATATTTTATTAGGCTTCATATCAAATGCGGTCATTATATATATATATATATATATATATATATATAATATATATATATATATATATATATATATATATATATATATATATATATATATATATATATATATATATATATATATATATAATCGTATAATACATATGTATCATCGATACAATGGAAAATTATTGAACCTGAAAATCACAAATTTGAAAAAAATCGGTATAGTAGTTTGGGAGAAAATTCGCGGATGGCGGACGAACAAATTCTTATTCATTTTTTGGATTTTAAGTATCCTGAAACGTAAAATCTCAAATTTTGAGGGGGGGATTAAGTTTTTGAATTTTTTTGTTCGATCACAATGGTTCATTATTGAATATAATAAACCAAAATATAAGTAAATATATCAGTTAGAGCTAATTTTTGAATTCACAAGGGACTTATTTATGAAACGAAGTATTCATTTGATTTGAGTCAATCGTGTTGAAAAACGGAACATTTGAATTTTCAAAAACGATTTTCACTTAATTTTCAAATCATATTGATATCGCATCCTTCACAGAATCGAAAATCAGTGCTTAAATCGAATTAAGAAAAAAAATTGACAGAATAGTTTAAATTAAAACAGAATTAATTAAAATTAAAATAGTGTTTTTTCTCAAAGTTATAAAAGTGACAGATGTCCACCTTTGATATGATGCCACTCATATATTGTCTGTAAGCAAAGTGCATAAACTTCTACCGCTGTCAAATAAACGTGTATGAATATTGTAACCAATCGATCAGACAAAGTGAAGATTAATTTCTGAATGAACCGATACTGATCGACTAGTTCTACGAAAACGGTTATTGACCGGGACTGGCGGATTATTGCGTTAAAGTAGGAATACCCAATAGACTCTCCATTGCCTGCAAAAAAATGAAGAATTTTTTTTTCCGTCGCTCGATAAAGCTTCTATTAAACCAATTTTTTTGCAGTCTACTGCATAATGACATGCCACTACTTTGGATAAGGCTCTAAACCTTGTTATAAATGGGACGGCTTTTAAAATCCCATCATCGAGTGAGAACTTCTAGGCAATAATATGTCTTATAAACTTTTTAAGATCTGTATAAAATAAAGAAATCTACTTGAAACTAAAGTGTAAATAACCCTAGTGGTTGAAAAACGAACAAATATATAAAATTTCATTAAGATATGTAAAACGCCTCTGAATTCATATTTTTAAAAATAATATTAATATTATAATATAAAACAATAAAATAAGTATAATATAATATTAACATTAATATAATGATATTTTTATAACTATTATATTGATATATTTGAACAACTTGTTGGCAGCCTTCATGAGTACCGGTCGCGAAAACTTGATAGTGGTGGATTGGTCGAGCCTGGCGGCGGGGCCTTGGTATCACAGCGCGGTGGCCAATACCAAGGTTGTGGCCAAGTGGTTGGCTGGAGTCATCGACTCCTTGGTCATCAGAGGACTCCCTTTGGCCTCCTTTCACGTCATCGGGTTCTCCCTAGGGGCTGAAATAGCAGGACTCACCGCCAAGAAGGTCACCGTTGGCAAGCTGCGCAGGGTCACGGGTAAGTATACATTAAAACTTATATTAACGATTACATTATATAGTAATATGATTTTTGTTATATTAACGAAAATATGTTATAATAAATACCATAGAAAGAGGAATAAAAAAATAAATAAGGAAAGTAATACCGTTTTCTTACATTGAATTCAAACACATAAATTTCACTCTAGTTATTATTTTTATTCATTCATGAAATCATCCTCAATATCAACATTGCCTTCAAATGGGAAAATTTTCAATGCAGGATCAATAAAAATAAATTGTTTTTTTAGCAAAATATATACAAAAGGCATTTTAGACATCATTTAAATTTGCAAATTTCTTGCTACAAAAAAAAAAGTATTGAATAGTACAACATCCGGTGAGTGTGGAGAATGGGGCAGTACCTCCTATCTCAATTCATTACATTTTCCAGAGTTCGTCTTACACAGTGCGATCTTGCATTTTAGTGTTGCAGAATAACGCCTCTTGACAATCGATGGCAACTTTTCAATTAATGATTGATTTACACGATCCAATTGTTCACAATAAACTTCTGCATTCACAGTTTGTCCAGGTTTCAGAACTTCAAAATGAGAAACGTCGAGAATACTCCACCAGATATTTAAAAGGACCTTTTTTGTGTAAACTTGACTTACCAGTACTTTTGGAAGAGCCACCGCTTTTTGCGTTTTGGATTATCATACACGACCCATTTTTCTTCTCCGGTAATCAGAAAAAGGTTCTGTGCTGTGCCGTTGAAGCAATATGTTGCATATGTTGGTTTTACAATCTGCTTGGATGGTTGACTAAGGTTGGTTAATACTGTTTGACAATTCCTCGATTTTCTGACACGGATTTGCTTCTACTTCCGTCTTTAACATGTCATTGTCTAACGTTTTTGGTCTTCCTGATTGATATCAGTTGGGCAGATCAAAATTACCGGATTTGAACTTGAAAAACCATCTTTAGCATTTACGAAATTCAAAGGCATTTGGATAAACATCGTTAATGTTTTTGGTAGCAGCGGTTGCGAAACTCACAAATCATGCAATACCGGATATGTGCGTCTTCTGGTATTTGGCTGACCCATTAAACAAAAATTGAAACAAAAAGATATAATTCAAAAATATTATTTGCTACTAAATTTGTCACTATAACCTAAGAATGTCTTTGTCACGACATAGATGTACACAATGAGATCCCAAATGATAATCAAATAGTGACATGTTGAGAAACGACATTGATATAATTATTTTTCGGTCCTCCTAATATAAGATAATATAAGACTCATTCACTATATTTAAGACGAATGATTAGATATTAGTAACTGAGTAGCCAAGTAGCTTATATTTATGTTTTCGCTCTAGGTTTGGATCCAGCTCTGCCGTTGTTTCACGTCCATGAACCAGTTGGACGGCTTGCTGTGACCGACGCCGAGTTCGTGGACGTCATACACACTGACGGTGGGATCTTCGGCTTCGATGTCCCGATAGGGCACGCGGACTTCTTTCCGAACGGAGGTAAGCCGGCACAGCCAGGGTGCAGGATCGAGTCAGTCGTCCACACAGGAAAGCTCAATGAGTTCGGTAAGTCAACACTAAATACCTTTATCTACTTCAGCACTTCAAGCATACTAAAAGAACTATTACTAATTGCACTAACCTTATTTAGATATTTTTTTTATTTAATATTGCCCAGGTTCAAGAATACTCACCTGAAACAATGTAAAAAATGTTAATATGTAGTCTTTTTAGAAAAATATTACTCAGTTATGGATTGAATAACATTACAATCTTAGGTGTAGACTTTCAATTTTGATTGGGGAGAGGGGAGGAGCTATGAATATAGAAAAAAAAATTTAAAATAATAATTGTGAAACGAATAAACGTAATATAGAGTATTTAAAATTAATTTGTTTATATGATAGTACAATTGTAAAGATTTTTATTTATTTTTATGTTTATTTATTATATATCCTTGAAAATATCTTTCAAAAATACAATTGAATATACAACGAATTTGTTTAGTTTAACCCGGGGAAGGGGCGAGGAGAGGAGGAAAAGAGGAGGAGAAACAGCCTTCGACATTGGTACATTTCTTGAACTTTTTCAGCTAAAAATTAATATCAAAAAGTGAAAAATATCTTTAATTTCTTAGTGTTTATAACCTGAAATAAAAATACGGTTTTCAAAGTATTAGGAGTAGTATGTCGTGGAAAATATGATAGGAATGTACCTCCTCCTGAAGTCATACAATACCTTAGTGCTTAACAGTTACAGAACTAAAAAGAATGTATTTCGAGTTTTAGTTAAGCATCGAAGAAAACCTAATCCGAGATCAGTTCCGAATTTGACAAATATTTTTGAACTAAGTTAGTCCTAGAATTAATCCTAATTCCGGCAATAACTTAAGCTTTTAGTTTCAATTATAAAATACATAATTTATTTTGATAAGTAAAGTGGGTATTATATGTTCTTACTTTCCCACTATCGAAGATATGGAAGTTTTATATTCATGGATAAGTTAAAAAAAAAATCACCTTTATTTATTCCCGATTGACGTTTTAGACATAAAGGAGCAAATTCAGTTTTGGATCTTTTTGTGATAAAATTCATGTGGCATAACTCTACTCTAATTTTTAAACGATAACGATTAGCAATTATGCTGGAAGAATCTCTTACAAGTGTATATGTATTTACAGTTTTATTTTAACTTCTACACATGGAGGGGTTTTCATTCAGTATTTTGATAATGGGGGCGGAGTGGCCGATCCTTTTTGAGGTCCCATAAAAAAAAATCTCATATTGTATAAAAAGTTTTTAGTGTTTTTTTTTTTTTTTTTTTTTTTTTTTTTTTTTTTTTCCGATCCCTCTGAAACAAAACAAACCATGATATCAGTGTCATATCGGACCAGTGCACTAGCGGAACGATACTTTGAATTACCTTGACCTTTTTCTACCTGTGGTATTTGAAGGTGCGTTGAATGATTTTTGTTAGTTATCTCTTCTTGTCCACTTAAGGTCTTGATAAGATGTATGGAGTTGAGGGTCCTCCGCTCGTTAAGTGAAAATATATAAAATAAAATAAAAATTAAGCATAACGATAAAATAAGTAGGGGGGGGGAGGAATAGGGATATGGATAGGGATGGGGAGGGGAGGACTAGCCGTGAGGCGGGTTAAATGATTATGTTGGTGGGGTTTATTGGACCCTTACGGCCTTGCCATCTGGCAGGGAGGGGGGATGGTGTGATGGATCGGAATAATGGGTTAAAGGATGCAGGGAGGTTGTCGAAGAACTTGATATGTCTTCTTGAAATATGTTGTTGCACAAAGTCGAGTTGTAGTTCGTTATGTATGTGTTTCATGTTTCGTCTTTCTAATGTTGTCCCTTTGCAGATCTTCATGAGTATGCTGTTCTGGTATTGTTGTAGTTTCTTCAGGGCTGTGGGATATAGGTAGTGTAGGAGGGGGGCACCGTGGAGAAGTGAAGGTCTGAGTATGGCTTTATATATGAGTAATTTGAGTCTGAGTGATAGCCCTGGAGAATAGAGTAGGTGGCGGAGTTGGTATGTGGTAGATTTTACTGTTTGTATTCTGTGTTGTATGTGCGCTGTGAAAGATAAGTGTGATTCGAGTTTTATTCCTAGGTATGTGAGATGTCTTTTTGTTTTTATAGTTTGACCGTTAAGTTTAGGTAGTTTTTCAGTTGTTTTCTTGAATGAGAATGTGATGGCGTCGGTTTTTGCGGGGTTGATGTGGATGTTTATGTTTTTAAGTTGGTCTATGATCAGTTGGGCTGCATTTTGTGCTCGGCGCATTGCGTGTTTAGCTCCCATGCTTGCTGTGTAGATAGCAATATCATCAGCATAAGCAGCTATTTGAACTTTGTCAATTTTGGTCCCAACTATTTGGGCAGTGTAAATATTAAATAGGATAGGCGCCAGAACTGAGCCCTGGGGGACGCCACAAGTAACTGGCCTAGGGGGTGACATGTCAGTTTTGACTCGAACTGAGAAGGTCCTGTCACTGAGATATGAGCCGATAATATCGACTAGTTGTACCGGGAATTGGTGATGCCTGAGTTTATCGATAAGGATGGAGTGGGATACAGAATCAAAAGCCTGTGTGCAGTCAAGGGAGATCATGGCTGTGGCAAGATTTTTATTTAGGTTATTAGCTGTTTCGTACTGTAATTTAGCCACGTGGTGATAACAGCTAACGCCGCGAGAGAACCCAGTTTGTTCAGGGGGTACAATGTCATGTGAATCGCAGTGTTTTCGGATGTGGATGAGGATTAGTTTCTCATATATTTTTGAGATGTGGTCGAGGAGACTGATCGGCCGATAATCTTCCGGGACCGCTCCTCGTTTCCGAGGTTTGAGGAGTGGAACGACAATAGCATGTTTCCACTCCGTTGGGAAATATCTGAGGCGTGAGCATGAGTTAAAAATGTTAAGGAGAAACATTAGGGTTTTACGGGGCAGTTGTTTGATAAGGACAGAAGGAATATTGTCCTTTCCAGCAGACTTGTTTCCCTTTGTTTTTCTCAAAATTGCAGTCAGGTCTTTATATGTGGAGAATATTGTGTTATTTAGGTTATCCGTGTGGGGGATGTGATGATAAATGGTGTCAGTACGGGCATCGTCTCGTTCTACGTAGTAGTCTGATAGAATGCTAGCCTGGTCTGCAGGAGTGAGAAGCTCATCGCCTCGGAGGATTTTCACCGATTTGGATTTGGTGTTGTGGCTTCTGACTAGTTTCCAGAATTTTTTATGGTCGTTGTGGGTCCGGCGAAGTTGTTCATGCCATATTGACGTTTTCCACTGCGACATAAGGGATGTTATTTGTCTAGTAAGGCTGTTTATGATAGGTTTGTAAGTCGGGTCTTTAGTTCTGTACCAGCAGTTCTTGATGTTGTTACGTTGTTTTATGATTGATAGGATGTGTTTTGGTAGTATGCGAAGGTGAATTGGAATGGGGTTGAAGGTGGGTATGGTGGTGTTAGCTGCATTATGGATAATGTTGTGTAATGTACTAATGGCGTTGTCGATGTCTATAGTTGTTGTAAGTGTCGTGATTTTTTAGTGACTCATATTTTATTTTACATATCAAAGCGAAACGGACCGTAACGAAGACACCACGCTTCTTAATCCCAGAATTATTTCTCCCTTATTATAGTTACAAATTGGTAATAAGAATAATTACAATTACATAATAATATAAATTGGCAATAAGGTGCGATATATAATGTAGATTTTTAAAGAAATCAAATATCTGTTCGAACTGAGGTTTCTTTCCATTTATTTTATGTTAATAAAATGTAAATTACTGCTATACTATTAGAGCAACGATTAGTACAATTAAATGAGCAGTAATATATATATTTTTAAAGGGGGTTGTTGACAGGGGGTACTTTATTTAGTAGTTGATTTGGCCGAAATCATGCCTGGTTTTAAGAGTACCCACTTTAATACTTTATAAAAGGTGGATGTATCCCATAAGGTTCTCTCAACACCAGAGTCGATCCAAGTCCGATTAAATAGAGTAAATAATTAAAAGAAGAATAGTTGGGGCGATCAGTCAAATAAAAAGGCACAATAAATCATAATATTTATTTTGGCATTTGCCGAAGATTCGACCTGAAGTTCAGGCCTTCATCAGGGCTGTCTCCAAAAGTGTAGTGGAGACTGCCCTGATGAAGGCCTGAACTTCAGGTTGAAACGTTGGCAAATGTCAAAATAAATATTATCATTTATTTTGCCTTCTTATTTGACTGATCACCCCAACTATTTACGACAGTCAACCATTTACCCACAATTAAGAATAAATAATTGTCTGCCATAGCCCGGGAAGCCGGTATGTGGGGGACAGCAAAACAGTTCCTTACTCACAGAGTTACCCCGCTCCTACTCATTATAATAATAAACTATTTTGACCTTGGGTAGCTATTAATTAATGCAGGGCGGTCCCTCCACGCCCAGTGGTATAATAAAAGGCCTTTGGCCACAGATGCAAAGAACGCATACAGCGTGCAGAGCCCTCTTAACTTAAAATGCCCTTGGGCAATAAAAGGAAAGTTGAAAATTTATGTATATATACATTTATATACATACTGAATTTATTCAAGAAATTCCTGGGGGGTAGGAAAAAAAAAAAAAAAAAAAAAAAAAAAACTTGGGTAGCTATTAAATAAACCATTTGATAGACTTGGTTTTCTTTTGTTTTTATTATTCACTACTTAATATCTAAAATATTCATTTGATATATTTCTCTATTGACCCTTACGCTATCAATTTATCCTTCATTATATTTAACAATCTCTTGACCATTGGTTACGACGAAATTACGAAAGTGTTGTCCTAAACAATAAATATGTATTTAATCCCGTGGGATAGAGACAATTCCCGCTATATGCAGGTACCGGTGAAGAGATGATTCACTGTATTTGATATAGTAATGGAAGATAGCAGGTAATATTTGGTCAGGAACAGGTGAAGGTGTGGATTGATGTTTGCTGCACCAATCAGAGAAATAAATTTATCGTGGCAGTGCAAACAGATCCATCCTTTATCAAATAGCAACATTAGTAGACAATAATTAACTATTCGTATAGGAATGTAGTATACTTGGCTGGAATTTGTGGTTTATACATATATATATGTATATATCAATCTGATTACAGATATAATTTCTAATATACTCGTACTGAATAGAGGGATTAAATAAAGCTACCATTAATCTTTAGAATCATTTGGAAGTTAGAAAAAGTACCCATCAAGATTTTCCGTCCCATTTGATATATATTCAGGAAATGGTCCTCAGCTTTATTAGAATTTCATTTAATCCTTCCGAACCACTTTATTTGATTTTTCGCGAGTTGGGAGTAAAAGAAAAACCAAATAGAAACAGTTGAAGTAAAATCCTGGCCAGTCTTTTTGATGAAACAAACGTTATTTAGGAAGTAATATTATGTCTTGGAACCCCGATACCAGACTGAAACGACTAGAAACCGTCCGACGTTTTGGACTACTGCAGCACTTACTAAAAAAATGCTCTAATCTTCCAACTATTTACGAAAGACTCATATATATATTATGATGTATGATGTATCATGCAACAAGGATAATATATATATATTTTTTTCATACACCACTATTTTATTTTATTTTTTGTTTATTATTTGTGAACTGGAAAGATTCAGTATCACTTTTGGCATAGCACTGTGAGGTGATGCATACTAAGTAAGAGATAGTTTTTTGTTTTCATCCATTTTTCTTTTTTCTATCTACAAGATTGTGTATATATTAGACGTATTTCATTTCTTACACTCCTCAATTTGTATACATATATATCTTTCTATACATGTAATTCTTTTTTCTTTTTTTTTAATTCTTTTTCTTTTTGTTATTTTTCCAGTAAAATTATAAATATAGTTGAGAAGATTTTATTTATTTTTTTAATAATTAACATACTATTATTTAAGTTGTTGTATATATTGTTTGAATCTTTATTGAGTTAGTTTTTGACCAGATGTGTATTTTTTTTCTTTTGTAACTGTACATTATTGTTATTCTAAGGGGACATCGTCCCAGAATAAAATTTATTTTCTATTCCTATTTCTATATATTACTATAATAAGGCTTATTTGGACTTACGGGATCGAGCTTTGGGGCTCTACTAAACCATCAAATTCCCCTCGTATCCAATCCCTACAAACCAAAATCTTTCGTAAAATCCTCATTTTTCCATATTTCGTCACAAATAAAATCATCCATAACGACCTTAATGTAACATATGTTTCCGATTTAGGTCATTCAGATACCTATCCTTCCATAATAAACTTCTGAACCATCCGAGCCCTCTTGTTTCCAACCTTGCTTCCTCTTCTATTCCTGATTACCCTCCGAGGCGTCTGAAAAGAAAATGGCCTCAGGTCCTTCTAATATAGAAATATAACTGGAGTGCTACCAATGGGTAGTTTCTCTTCATGTTGTACATGTGATGTTACTTGCTTCATATTTACTTGTTGTATTTATCATTTAATATAGTTGTAAATTTCAATAATGAAAATATTTCATCGAAGTGGTTAAAGTTCCACGTAGCACATGTTCGATTTCACGCAATATCAGTCAGCTGCCATGTATCATATATCGAGGCAGAGATTTATTATTTTTGGTTTCATATGAAATGTACGTTTTCACAGGAAAGGTTTTTTAGTAAAACAACTTAATAAAATAAAAAAAATTTATTCGAAATATTCTTCCTCATTTTCAGTATATTTTCCCGCAACGTATTAACTTTTCAACTCCAGAACTGAAAAATTCAGGTCCTTGTGTAGAATTTAAGTTATGAAACACATTTTTCACCGGAGAATCATTTTAAGAAATTGTACCTTTAAGGAAGTTGTCCAAATTTCTGAACAAATGGAAATATGTTGGAAATAATTCTGGTAAATAGGGTGGGTATGGAGAGACCGTAGTCGGAGAGACGTTGTCGTGAAATATGAGGTCTGGCATTGTGTGTAGGATTATAGCTTCCTTCCGAATAACCAATGCAGGTTGTTTTTTGACACGTTTTTGATGCGTTATGTCAATATCTCACAGCAGTACGATGTGGATGTGATGGTTTCATATCTGTGTATAAAGGAGAAATGAATTATTCCTGACATTGATGGCCACACAGGAACCAATTATTTTTTTTAAGGTTTATTTTTGGATGCAAAGTCTTTTTAAAACTACCGGCGAATGGTAACACCCTTCCCTGAACGCCGTGGTAATGTTTCTTGCAGCTTGGGCTGCCGAGTGTCCAAGTTTACACTAAAAAAGAAAGTTACTGAAAAATCGCTTGTATCAATAGTCATATTTGATGGCATACAAACAATGAGAAATCAATTGGAATGATAGTAATTATTATAAAAGAAGATAGTATTACTAACGGCTCATTACAATCTGTAAACATAATCGTAGTAAATAAAAAAAAATCCACTAATCCCACTTTGAATTTCTGAAATAATAAAACGCAAATTTTATATTAAATGATCTAATATAATTGAATAGATGAATAATATTTTCATCATTAGATACCACATTGAAATATGAGTAAAGGAAGAACCACTAAAAAAGTAACTACAGCCGAATCAGTGAATTAACGGAGGTGATGTGGCCGAAGCGTAGATGGGAAGATTGTTTTGTGAGACCTTGTCGATTACTGCATTGTGTTTGGTGGAGATAAGTGGAAATACAGATATTATATTAAACACATAGTTCTTTAGGTCTTATTATTATTAATAATACATACATACATACAAATGAATGGCTCTGTACACTTGAAGTGAATTTATCCTACTTCCCGACGACAATTCCTTCTTGGTGTTTTCCTTTTTTCAGATCCTAAAAACCAATAATCCTCCTTAGTTCATGGAACTCCTCACTCTACGTTCCTCGATCCACTCTATCATTACCAGATTTCAACCTTTTGTTTTATATAACCCATCTAAAAAAATTACATCCTTCAGCAAATCCTTCGTCATTCGTGCTACCTTCTACTGTAACTCATTATGGATGAGGATTGTCGTATGGAGATAGGATACGACAATCCTCATCCATAAATTCCTTGAAACAACTCTTATCTCACCACCTACTTTATTTTCAAACTATAGGTTCCTATGAAATACTTATTGGATTCTGTAATTACAATTGCTAACAATTAATCGACAAGCTCCATTTTATTTTATGTCATTTATTTATTTCTTTGCATACATGTAAAATCTAAGAGTGCTGCTTTATTTACTGTTATTGTTCAAGTATGATTGCAATATCAATTAAAATTAATATTTAAATGGCTCGAACCTCTTTGTATATTGACAAGCCAGATTAATGGACCAGTGTTTTGTACCATGTTATTATTATCTTAGGAGACTTTAGTCTCAGAATAAAATTACTTTTTTCATTTCACAACTATATGGTAATGAAAACATATAGATTACAGAGGGATATAAGTGAAATTCTTACGTTATATTTGTTTCTGAAACACAAATTGATAATATTTTTTAAAGTTGCTTGCAGCCACAACAGAGCTTGGATGTTCTTTGCCGAGTCTGTGAGAAACCCGTACGCTTTTCCGGCTTATAAGTGCCACGACTACCACGCATTCGTGGCTGGGAAATGTCCTCCGGAAGGAAAGCAGGCCTACATGGGGTATCTTGCCGATCCCAGGTAATATTATATAAATATAATTTTAAATACTGATATAAATTCGTAACAAACTAACCAAGAGACACAACATCAATGTTAGCTTATAATTGGAAAAGTTCTAAACCACACAGCCTTATGTTTCCAAAACGTAGACTATGTAAACAATCAGTCAAAGTTTCGCCAATTCTCGAATGGTTAAGACTGAAAAGAACAGCAAATCGAACAGCACTCCGTGACTTCCAAACGCATACTGGAAGGTTAAGTAACATAGCAAGGGAAGGTTACAATCAAACAGCTGATCAGAGAAACGAACAACTGACAAAAATTATGCAATATCTAACCAAACATCATAAATATGTTACATAAGAAAAAAAAATTAAAATATTAATTACAAAGGGTCATAAAAAATGTTAAAATTGACTTTATAAAGAATTCGAATCCAGTAGAATTAGGCTGAATTCTGAGATAACACTTTCAAGAAATTTAGCAAATATTATTTCTCACTGACGTATATTTGGGCAAGTCCTTAAACTCATTCGGTTGAATCATGGATGTCTAAGCGGTTCCATCGAAACGTCGGCAAAAATTAAAATAATTTATATATTTTAATGTTTTTATTTATTTGACCGCACCCTCGACTAACTCCTTCTCATAAATCAATTTACATTACATATTTATATTCAGTTTACTTTCTGTCCAAATGAACAAGTTCTTAAACTCAGTGATTCCCTTATATATTTTCAGTAATGAATTTGAATAGATTAGATTTAACAAGTAAAAGTATAAATGTATTTTATAGAGAAAGTTTTATAGACATTTTTATAGACAAAGTCAGACTGTGAAAACGTTTTATTTTTATTTGGAGATTGTGTATTTTTCAGTTTTTAACATTATTCATTTTTAGCTGAAAATGTACCTATGTTATGAATACCTTCAGTCCATCCCCCTTCTTCTCATGTTTAATGTATACAAATTGAAATATATTCATTTACTTTGTTCAGAATAAAAAAGCACGTTAAAAAAAATCCTTCAACTGCCTAAACATATAAAAATTTATTTTCAAACATCCAATATACTTGTTCGTTTCACAATAATTATGTTGAATTTGTAAAAATAATGGAATAAAATAAAAATATAAAAATCCCCTCTCCACCAATCAAAATTAAAAGTCTACGCCTGTGCCAATACTACTGTATAGTATATTTTTAATAAATGATTTTGTCCAACAGACAGATTGTTATAATACTCAATAAAGAAATTTAAAAAAAAAAAAAAAAAAAATGATTAAAGATATTTTTTAGATACAGATATTCATTTTTGCTATTCTGTAGAAAATTTATAACTTTCCGAGCCCTAACTATTTATAAATAGTAAAATTGCATTTATATTGATATGAAATATGAAATATCTACAATGATTTTATTTCAAGTGATGCAGAAGAATCATTTTAGCATGATGAGAATTAATTTGACAAATATTGTGTCTTTAAATTCGTCAGTAAAACAATTTATTTTTTGTTTATAAATTGGTACATATGTTACAGGACAATATTGCTATAGAATAAGATCGATATAAGCAATCGACGAGGAGGGGATTGGGTGTTGACAGTTCAGTAGACACGTTAGCTAAAGATAGCTCGCTAGTTATAGATAGCTCCATTCAACCGTTCTCAACACTTTCCATACTTTCGGACTTTGATTCACAAAGTATAATGTTAATCATCATCATTACCATATCATTATGTTAGAAACTAGCTTGAAAAATTGATAAGAACAGTTATCGACCTAAAACCGAAAATAGATTAATAAATGAATGCTTGCGTTGGCAAAAAGATGAAAGAATTTTCAATTGCAACTCAAAAGCGTATGTTTTAAGAAATAGCTAAACTCACTAGATTAATTCTGAAACATTGTTAGCTACATTTGCTGATGACTCAGCAATATTAACGTCTAACAAGGATGCAGCTAAGGCTTCTCAGGTACTTCAAGAAAACATACACGACATACCTTGTTGGTCTAAAGGTGGAGAATAAAAATGAACGAGTCTAAGAGCCAATTTGTTTCATTTACACTTAAACATGACTCTTGTCCTCCAGTGTTCTTTAATGATATCGCTCTACCATCTTAAAAAAACTGTGCGATATTTGGGTCTCCACTTGGACAAACGAGTGACATGGAAATACTACATAAAACAAAAAAGAAAAGAACTTAATCAGCGATACGGACTTCTTTCTAGGCTACTTGACAGGCGTTCTGTATTTTTTTTGTGTATGTTATTATTTTATTATGTATGTGTTATTTTACTACTGTCTTTTTTTGTCTTTTTGTTTTGTTATTACTATTCTTTTTCCTTTATGCTATCATTTCTTCTCCTTGATATCATATTTGCGGAATACCGAGGTAGATGGCAGATTTATTGTGAGCCAGGAATATGTATAACTAATAAATAATAAATAAACCATTCATAGTGTGATCATGAAATCTTGCGCTCTTCCATCAAAGTGGAGTTATACTTGTAAAGTAGTACCGTAATTTTATGTTTATGACTTTAGCAGGTTAAAGTTAGCCCCTCATATCCTTTATCTCTTTATTAGTTTGTTCTTTATTTATTAGTTGGACTGTTGTTGTGCTTATTGATAATAATATTGTTTGTGAAACTATAATTAATTTTAAGAGAAGGAATTGGTCGGGGGGAGGGGAGGTGCTGTCAAATAAATACTTAATTAAAAAAAAAATAGTATTTTTAATCACGCCGACGTTTGACCCACCTTGCAGGTCTTCGTCAGGGCTACAAAAGATACAAAATATACATGTACATGGTGAAAATAGAATACAATTCATTTATTTTATTTTCACCATGTACGTTTTATATTTTGTATCTTTTGTAGCCCTGATGAAGACCTGTACGGTGGGTCGAAACATCGGCGTAATTAAAAATATCATTTTTGAAAAAATTAGTATTTATTTGACAGCACCTCTCCCCCCACCCAATTCCTTTTCATATTATATCAACCATCTCTACATCATTTTAAATAATTTTGTTAATATAACTTGAGCTATCTTGTTGTTTTGGCAAACTGACGCAGCCTCCGCGGTAACTTCTTCCTGGGCACACGACCTGAAGAACCTTTCGGCTTCGGGAGGCACGAAGACCCTCTCTACGACGGGGCCCCGACCTATCACCAGGCCCTCCAGCCTTCGACTCCAGGTCAATCGGGGCACTCAGTTCCAGCCACTCATCCAGGGATAGACATGGACCTGCTGCCGCTGTCCCTTCTGGAGAGCAAGGGCAGGTTCAGGGGCCTCAGAGGTAGGTTAGCATTATTTTGTTCATTATTTCTTGTTGTTTAGCTGTAAGCATCATGTGAGTGTGTGTGCATGGAGTATCCAAAGAGCGGAAAAGCAAAGATGGACATCTGGTCCTCAATTATCGTAGAAAATATTTTTTTTTTGTTCTTCATATTTTCGTCCACACCTGTCATAAGCTTGAAAATAAGCAGACGTGTTGTAACTGTTAAAGAAAATGGCATTTTAGGTTTAAAAAAGAACAGCATCCAGCAGTACCACTTACTGATCTTGATTTACTTCTTTAATTCTGAAAAGGAGATCTTTCATCCAGCTCCTCTTCATTAGTGTTGCCCAAAATCGGTCTAGGTCTTGCAATTTGTTAGACCAACACCAAGGGCCACCTAACTGCTGCAAGACCAAGACCAGGACTGTAGGAAAAAAATCAATTTTTTAAATAACAATTAAGGCAAATTATTTTCTAATACTTGACAATCTTAGTTACTATATGTAAATAATTGGTTAAAGCAATATACTTTTGAATTTAACTTCTCTAATTTTTCATTCGGGCTAAGTTAGGTTTCTCCTATCTAAAAAATTACAATAATATCTCTGTAGTAAGAAGCTGATAAGTAACTGCAAGACTCTCGCGCAAGACCAAGACCATGACCAAGACTCAGTTTGCATTAGGCAGCACTACTCTTCAGTCGTCTCGTGATGGGTATGTCAGCTGTGGCCATATCGTTAATAAGTCCGTTGTGATGTCAAATTTATGAAAAATATTTAAAATAGCAAGAATACTAAACAACAAATAACTAAAAGTATTGATTTATAGCCACAGGATGGTTCTTAGTATTTCAAGCACTATTATAAATGTCCTTTGATACAGATAGTAATAATTGCAATAAAAAAAATATATATTACGACTTTAGTAACATTTTCATTTAATAATAATAAATCTGCGACGTTGAATTTAAATATAGGGTGCACGCACCAGTTATGGACAGGGAGCCCATTAATGGACAGTTTGGAGTTAAAATATAAATAATAAGCTTCCTTGTTGATTTAAAGGTTCCATTTTTTTCTTCTAGATTGAAGAACAATGTCCTGTATTGACAACTGTATGAACAAAGTCCCCAAAAGAAAATTTTAAAATGTCTATCATTTTTGTTTCTTTAGTGCTCTTGAGATATAGGTATGTTTCATACCTCCCTACTAACAGTTTTACTGAGAGTAAGTTGAACAATTATGTTATCTTATTTTTATCGTTATCTTTATAATTAAATAAAGATTTTAGAATTTTTCTAGGGTATGTCTATTTGTGGTACCGACCCCCTGTCAATTACTAGAACAATTGAATTTCGAAGCGTCTATCACTAATGCAAATAGTAGTTTTGTTTTTTTAAATGGATATTATATCTGTATAACTGAATATTTTTTTCAATTTTAAAGTGTTTAATAGATAAAGGAGACCATAGAGATTTCAAATGCCCAACGGAGAAATTTATAACTATAATAATTACGGCGACATAAGCCAAAAAAGACAAACATTTCCTTAGCTATGTCCATCACTTAGTAAGCGCACCTACTATAAATATTTTAAATAAATAATATTTAAAAAATAATAGATTAGAGTTGAATAAAAATAAAAGTTTGATAATTTATCGAAAAAAGATGTTTCATCCCCACTCTTGTTTGGTTCTTATTCAACGATATACAACTGACTTTTAATATGAAATTAAGCGTTTTCTTATCCAATGATATACAGTATTTAAAATCAATCAATGCAGAGTTTCTTCGCTTTGAATTCTTCGGATCGGTCTTCTTGGAATAAAGGTAGAGGGGACCCATGTAAATATGACAATTCCGTATAATTTATTTATTTTCCACAGTAGAATGTGGTTTTGTGGTAGCACGGCATTTCTTAGTTTCTTATACTCAATAACTAGAGGGTTATTGTTAATGATTTTATATCAATGAAGGCTTCGTCATAAGGTTATTTGTATATAATCGGTTATTATAAATTGTTAAGTTTTAACAAGCAAGAAAAAAAACATTGGCAATCAAAATCAAAAAAATATTTAAATAATAATATAACTTTGTTACTTGTGTGTATATGATTGAACTAAAGGTGTGTATATAATTATGCTATTAGATATAAACAGCGAAGCAGTTAAAATTTGTTTTCTGTCAGCAGAAATGTTTATATATTTTGTTAAACTGAGAAGATGTAAATTTAATGGATAAATATAAATTGCACTCAAAATTCAATTGCTGCTGTTATTTTATTTTACGATCTAATAATTACGATCTATTCTTTGTTTCAGTACTGTAATATTTTTAGAAGTATTTTTTTTTAAATAAACATTTTTATTAATAAAAAAATTATTTTCTGCCTCACATATGTTTTGTTGGTTTTAGCACCGGAAGAAGCAACAATGCCTCAATATTGCGCAGGTCCTTAATAAGTGAGGCAGGATGTCCTGTTGTATAATTATTGAAGGATGGTGAAAAATCTATAAACTATATTATTTATTTATTGTACGTGAATAAGAATTTTTTTTTTTTATAAGATCATAATTCCAGAGTCAGTAAAGTCTGAAAGAAATACATTTTCGAATATTAAAGAAAAACAAACGGTAGTTTACAAAAAAATTCCTAGTACAGAAATGTTTACTTAAATGTGTACTATAAATTATTAGTACATTGTTTATGAAATTTAAGTCTTTGAATTTAAGATTGATGTTGGCCTTTCAACGCCTAACAATATTCAAGAAACATTCGATTTGTTCAAGAAAATCTATGTTGACATGCACCATGGATGAAAATGGGAATCTACTAAATCTAAATCTAAATGAAATCTAAAATTCAAGATAAAAATGTTGATCAGATTTAATTTTTTTAATTGTGGATTTTAAACCCTGCTATATACAACTAAAATTTACGGTATCTTTGAATTACAATGTATTCCCATTAAATTATCAATACAACAGATCTATTTCAATATAAAAATAAGGGAACATCAGATTTTAACTGCTTAAGTACTATTTCTCCGGTCTCTTCTCTCTTAGATGTACTGATCTATGAGATGGATAAAATCCTCTGTGTACTCTGTTAGCAGGAATACCGAGGGCAGACGAGGAAGAAACGCAGTACGACCGAGAAGAGAGGGAAATGGAGGAGGAAGACGAAGAAGAGGCTCCAGAAAGCTACGAGGAGGAGGTAGAAGCAGTGGCAGCCATGTACCAGTACCTGTTACCGACCCTAGCGGACAGCCCGGACCTGGAGTTTCATCTCCTACCGTATGATTATGGTAGGGAGTCCACGGAAGACATGACTCTGGGAGACCTGGAAGTCGAAGACACTGGAGATGATAATGATGAAGATGGAACAAGGGAACGCAGGCGTGTCTTGGACAGCATAAATGCAATAGGAAGTATACTAAATATATTCAACATGGATCAAGTCACTGAAGCCAACATGTACACAAAATAAAAATAACAATCCGAAAATTTCCATTACTCCATATGAAAATATTGAAAAGTGGTCTTGATGCAAGAATGCAGTCCATACAATTTTAAATATTGTAAAGCCTTGAATTCTCATAACACTAATAAAGTTCCTCTCTATAAATAAGGTATTTATCTAAAATTAAAAAAAATAATTCCATTTTTGTAATTTTATGAAATATTTATATAAAAAATAATATTTATTATGTAATGATAATGTATATATTTTACAACATTTTATACTTTTTTATAAATAAATAATTGTATTTTTAAATTAAACCTGAATTATTCTTTCATTCCCGATGTTTTTTTTTTTGTTGTTTGGGAGAAGTTTATCTATAGGTATATCCAACCATATTATAACCAGAGTCGAAAAATCGAGATGAATTCCGTGGGCATACAACAAAATTATCGTAATTGAAACAATTCGTTAGGACTTAAATTTGAATTTTCAAAATGGCTTCATTAAAAGCACTTTTCATGGTTTTACTTTAAAATAATTACTATCTTTGACTGTTAGTATTAATGAAAATTGAAAAATACGCAATAATTTATACTTTTGTATTATTTAATGGAAAATAAATGATTTAATGAAGCCCAATGAAAACTCTTAAAAGTTCTGTTTGACTAACCAAGTATCTAGTGTGCCCTCTCAAACTAAACTCAAACCACTACAACTTAGTAAAAAAAAAAATGTACATGTATCTAAAATTAGTGTACACAATTCAGTTGTTTTTTTTTTCAGGGCTTGAAACGAACTTTTATTTTTAAAAAGTTTCGATATCATCAGAATTTATATTGTTGATAGTTTTTCAGTTCTTTTGTAACTAAAACTTTTTCCTTATTGCAATTTTTCAAGCACTAGCTGATCCAAGATTTAATTTTGGGAGCGGCTTCAGCCCGAAAGCTTTTTTTTTTTAGTGTAACGATACTTATTTAAAAAAAAAGAAAGATACTACCTATATGAATTGGTGTTTAAGTGATTCTTGAAGTCTTATTAAAAATAATTAAACTAACAATAATACTCTAAGAGATAATTTTCTTCCATAAAACATAGTTAGAATTTACCATTTTTGTGGGGGAGGGCTTCGTCCCTAAACTCCCTTCCCCCGTAGGTCCGCTTGTGTTTTCAAGTTAAGGTTGTACAGAACTTTTATATTTAAAAAAACTTTGTTCAAAAGTTCTATAGATTTCACTAAAAAGTCCAACTAAAAATTTGTAGAGATGATAGCAGATTTTAAGAGTTACAAAAAAGTTTATATAAACAATGGTCTAATTTTCTAAGGAAAATTTAAGTTTTGTGTTTGTTTAAGCTGGTCACGTTTTTTTCATAAATCATTATGCTAAAAAAAGTTATTTATTTTAAGTAATCAACAACTGCTTTAAAGTAAACTAGACAAAATTTAATATGTAGAGTTTGTCATTGTTAAAACAAATTACAACGGTCTTTCGAGCGGATAAACTAAGCTACGTTCAGTTAAAAAAAAATCATTAATTATTACCGATTTTGTTTTTACCCTAAAAAACAACTATTCTATTTACCACATACTCTTCTGCAATACTACAGATACTCCACATTTAGAAACAGTTTCTCGTTAAATAAGTTTTAAGTCCAGATAAATTAATTTGACGTTTATTTGGAGATAAATTGAGATTTACTTCAAATTGTATTAAACAATAATGTTTTGATATCTTGTCATCTAAAAGATTTTTCAGCAAAAATTACTGGAATAAATTATTTCAAAACTTTATATATTTCAAAAATTAAACAATAAATTATTTATTTTTTTCCATGACCTGGGACGTAGTATAATAAAAATTAATTCATAAACACACATACATTTTAAAAAAATAATGTTTTTTTCCCAATATTTTTCATCTAAAGTGATAATGAACTATGTTTTTTACCCATATATTATATACTATATTATAAGAATTTATATGTATTTATAAGTGACCAACGAAATGTTTCTAATTCTAGGATGAAACAAAATTGTCAGGATTTACAGTCAAGAATTTTAATTAGGTTAGCCGACGTTTCGACCCAAGCATGTGGGTCATCCTCAGGGCTATCATATCTTGTGGGAGAAACTCGAGTGCTTGTCTGGACTCCCAAAAGATAGACTTAGGATGATCCAAATATTTGGGTCGAAACGTCGACTAAGCTAATAAAAATTCTTGACTGTGAATCTTGAGAATTTTGTTTAATCCTAATAATCGATCAGTAGACTAATTACACATCTCTAAAGTTTCTAATTATAATATTTATGTTAAAAATAAAGATACCGGCCGATTGCTGGAAGCATTTTCACGGAAAGTTAATTTTTTAATGATATTTACAACTGTATTAACAAATTTGAACAAATGGATATAATGACGTGAAAACACTTGCTGGGTAACTACCCAATGGTGGCACTCTAATGATTTGTCTACATTAGGAGATCACGGGACCGTCTTCATTTCAGATGCCGATGAGGGTTATCAGGAATTGAAGAGGAAGCAAGGTTAGAAACGAGAGGTTTGGGATGATTATGAAGTTTACTATGGAAGGATATGTATCTGGATCGTGCCAGATCTGAAACATAAGAAACATTAAGGTCATTATGGATGGTTTTATTTGTAACAAATAGGGAGCATTGAGGATTTTACGAAGGATTTTGGATTGTAAGGATTGGATGCGAGAGGAATTCGACGGTTTAGTGGAGCCCCATAGCTCAACTCCGTAAGTCCAAATAGGTCTTATTATAGTCAAGGATATGGGTCTTTAGTAATTAATGGGAAGTTTAGAGCGTTTGTCTAGTAAGTGCTGAAGTAATCGGAAACGTCGAGTGGTTTCTTGTCCTTTCAGTCTGGTATGAAGTTAAATTTTAGGTACTTTTTAATAGCTATTTATTTCTACTATCACCTATTAAAATATTTCCCTTTACTTACAGTACATTCTGTGTATTTAAGTTAAAGTAAAAATTAATTGCATCGGCTAATTATTTATCCCAATATAACCGATAGGTTATTGCATATCAATAAAATCTAAGATAAGTACTGAAAGTATTCAGTATTAATGGAGGATAATCACTTGGAAGATGGAGTATGGAGTAGTTTACAAAAGCCCTAGAAGAGAAGAGGCCATATTGGCTCGAGGGTAATGACGCTCGGAGAGCAAAAAGGTAAAAGTACTCTTTAAGATTTTAGTTCCAGCGAGATTGGCAACAACACAAATGGAGGCGTTGCATATTGCATCGCTCTGGCTGGACCAAGCTTTGTCCTTGCTCTATATCCATGCAAGAGCTTCTACTGGGAGGCAAGCAAGATAAAAAAAAAAAAAAAATAGATTCATTCGATATATGATCTAATATTTGTATTGATTTTTAGTAAATTACACAATCGAATTTTTTTTCTCGAAAATTAAAAAGATTATAACAGCATTTACATGACTCTACTTATTCTCACGAAACTTAACGGGGTCTCCAGGGCTCCTCTATGAACTTTAGAGTTATGAAAAAATGCTACATATAACTTTTGAAAGAATTCAATTAATTAATAAAGGAGAAAAAAATAAAAATGCAGAAAAACCTGCGTTCCTACAGACGGATGTACCGATTTCAATGAAACTTCGCTAAAGTCATTTTCTCGATACCCTTTAAATTTATCTATATAACATACTTCAACGAAAAGAAGCTGGAAAAAAAGTTACGAGGGATGTGGGAACTACACGTATTGGTACTAACTAGACCCCCATAAACAAATTAGAACTGGAGACATAAAATAAAAAGGTTTGAGATTTTTACTTTTACTTACTAATGTATATAATATATAATAAGGGAAAGTATTGCGATCGTGAAAAGTTTCCAATCCGATTTTCAACAGAAATACACGTTGTGAGGTCCTCTGAGTCCAAATAACCAAGTCCCACAAAACGAAAAGTTGTACGAAGCAGATATTACTTATTTAATATAGGTACATGTCTTAGATATGACAGCAGCTTTTTCCTTAAAATCGGCAAATCGGAAGTGCCACTTCATATAAACGGTGAAACACATGTTTACAATTTTGTCAAAAACGGCTCTAACGATTTTGATTAAACTCGGTAAATCACTGTATAATTAAGTGGCCTTTAATATCATTTATGTCTTATACCGATTGATGTCATTTTACAGAGCTTAAATGTTCCAATGTTCAACACGTCTTCCTCTAAAGTACCTTTAATTTGGTTTATTTTAAATAATTAACTGTCTTCCATTGTTCCATGTAAAAAGGATAAATATAACTTTTGAAAGCATTCGATAAACGAATAAAGGAAAAAAAAAAAAAATATGCTTATCCAGATCGAAAATGAATCTACGGAAATAATAGTTAGTAGGTATAAGTATAATATATCGTTGGAAAGCGGAGAATTTTAGAAAAAATAATATTTAATAAACAAAGTTGTAGAAGGTAACATAGAGTGAGGAAAAAAGTAATAATAATAATTTTTGAAAATTAATATTATTAAACGTAAAACACATGTTTTCAAGACAATTAAATTAAATCTACTTACTAAATGGAATCAAGACAATGAAATTGTTTAAGACGTGAAACAAGAAGAAGTGAAACATAAAAATATTTCATGGATATGTATATAACCTTAAATATATTTAGTGTAGTTTAATAACTCTAGATCTAATATTATATTTAAATAATTAGGTATCTATCGTCGGTTTACTCCGAAAAATCATCATGTAAATTTTTAGATGATTAAATTAGTGAATAATTTGATGACTTTTCTTTTTGAATTATCTCAACAGTATTACAATTAGTGTGACAACTTTTGACCTATGACAGGCAATACAAATATCGTAATTCCATTTTAGTAAACTTTGCAATGGAAAATAATAGTTTAATAACTAATAGTAGTACGATCCATAATCAACCATTGATATAATAAATAGGATGTTTGCTGTTTTAATAGTATTAATGATTTGTTAGGTGTAAGCTTGAAGCTTTAGCTCGGTTAAAAATGCATTTTAAAAAATCATAATAGCCCATCATTAAGAGAAAATAATTTCTATTCGAAGTATAGCGTTATGTGAAAGCTGTGTGTAGCTTTTTTTAACCTGATTTTTACTTCCCTACCTATACTAGGTAAGGAAAGTATTGCGATCGTGTCAAATTTCCGATGTGCGGTTTTTAACGGATCTATACGTTTCAGAGCCCTCTGATCTTCACTATTATCCTTACTTTTAACACAAATTATTGTTTGACAAAATTAGGCTATAGTAAAACGATTTCGATCAGTAATAGTA